ACATACATACATACATACATTCGATGTAAAGCCAATGTATTGTACGTACATATAAGTACTTACATATGTACGTTCCTGCAAAAGAACCAAGCGGGAACAAAAGTATTGAGAGCAGTTTGAAAAGTTTGGGGAACTTTTCTATAAAGAACAAAATGCGAGCAACACTCTCGGGAATGTTCTTAAAAAGAGCAAAATGAGAATAAAACTGAAGAATCGAATGAGAAGGAATCTCTCGGGAACGCTTCCAATGAGAGCGAACATTTGCAACTAAGATCAAATATAAACAAAAGTATGGGGAACATCCTGCTAGAGAACAAAACGAGCACAAACTTAGAGTTGAGAATGAGAGTGGCGTCTGCGTGTTGACATGAAAGGTCATTTCAGTGAGAACCGTGATTGTTAATTCTTAGCCAGATGAGAGGTTGATCATTTCAACTTTCAGATCATTTATAATTAGGATGAATTGTCCCTTTATGGAACAATGTTTCATTTTCTGTGCAAGAAAAGTTCGTGCCTTAAGTCTTTCGTTTGACTTAATTTGCATAATTATCTTTCAGTTCTTTTTTGATTCATTTAAATTTTGAAATATTTCAAATTAATGCAGCGCTATGAGAAAAATATTGCTCCCGCTTCCACGTTTCTGGGGCCTTAATTCCCTATTTGTTCTACGAGAAAATATTCATTCGACTTTTGTTCCCGTTTTGTTCTTTGCCAAAACGTTCCGGAGACTTTTTTTCCTTTTTTTCTCTTAAAAATCTTACCAAAAGTACTTTGTTCACCTTGGGAACATTTCCAAGGGTTTTTTTGTTGTATAGTTCCCCTTTGAGAACGCTCTCAATAGTTTTGTTCTCACTTTCGTTCTTATGAAAACATTCTCGAAGGTTTTGTTTCGATCATACATTTTTTTTCGTCCTTTGCTTAAAAGTACTCAGTGATGAACATTTAACTCTAGCGAAAAATTAAAATTTTACTGATTTTACTGAAGTATTTAGAGCATGTCCTACAAGAATGGCTTTTAACTTAGCGTTGAAATCATATTTCCATTATCATCTGGTCTTGCAAAAATAAGCATAGAAAGCTCGATAAATAAAATATTTGCTCTTAAATACGCGCTGGCTTTAGTGCTACCACGCGGATCGTTAGAAACCTTCTACTCAAACCATCATGCGGGTTTCGGATGTATGTACCACCTGTTGCAATTTCGTCTGCTTTCTCATTCAGTATATTCAGGTGCCCCGGAACCCACACTTTAGAAATCTGTGACAGTCCACTACGGATGCCTATGGCAGGGATCTGGAGCGAGGGGATATTTTACTTCCTGGTAAAAAGCAACAGTTCGAGTTTGTCTGGGTTAACACCCAGGTCTTTCTCCTAGATCCATCTTTCAATTAATCTTAGTTTGTCCTGCATGATATTACGCCGGGTTTGTGGAAATTTTCCTTTTAATGACACCGTTATTGGCAGATATTTTCCATACTTGGTAGATTTGAGAAAGATTTGCAGAGAAGCTGCTGTGAGCTCGCGTTATATAAAGTGACATAATCGAAAAGGCCACTCCTTTAAGCACAATGGCTCGTGCTCCGAGCGTTCAATACAGAAGTGGAAACATTATCTTATATTTGCATATACAGTGCACTCCTCATTATGTCAACACTGCCTTTCGTGAACACCGCTTAGCGTGAACACTCTTTTTCTTAATATTGCTACTCTGTACCATAAACAAATTAATATAGCCCTATATATAAAAAGTTGTCATACAAATAACCTACATTTTACGACATAGAATTAAGTCAGCCGCTCTTTTCCGCCTTTGCGGAGTGCTTATGGCAATCAATGCGAGTTCTTATAGAAAAATACTTCTACAAAAAAGTGAGTGCAGCGGCATTAACGTACTTGTTGCAAAGCGATATACGTAAGATCTCAAAGAAAAGCTACACAATAGGGATGGGATAGGTGCACGCAGAATCGATTCTTGACTTCAGGATCGACTTTCAGGTTTTCGATTCTTAAAGTCGATTAATCACCTCTGCTAGTCGACTATATGACTTCAATTGACTTTTCGAAAATTTATAAAATAAGCTAATGAAATGAAATTCTAATTTTTTAATAATTCAATAAGTTATACTTTACGAAATAATGGCATGCGATTCGGCACTTATTTTTATTAAAATATTGAGTTAAAACATATTTAAATTGCGTAATTTAGCAAAAATAAGTAATCACAGAGAAGATATTTAATTTTTCTTGAGGTGTGAGAAAAACAAACAGGAAAAATTTGACAACTAATAATCTAAGATTTGAATGTATAAACGGGGTGATTATTGAACAAACTAGATTTGATTGGGGCTATATTTATGTATATGTGAGCTTCATTTTCCACATCTGCAAACATGAACAACTTCCTACTCCATTGGTTTTGACTAGTTCAAGTTATCGCGAGTGAACCGTACCGAATAAATTCTAATTGTCATCGCTGCATCCCCTTAAATAGCTATCATTAGCTATCGGTAATCCGACACCGAATTGTGTTGGAGGCATCGTTCGTGCCTACGGCTGCGCAAACTGATCAAATAAATGCCCTTAGTATACTCCTAACAAAGCGATGGCGTGAAACGACTTTTTGAATGATTTACCAAGCTTGAGAGCGTACAGCCATTTCCACCCATGAAAATAAAATCAAGCTGCCAGAACTTACTTTAGAAAATCCTAGTTATGTACAACTAATAGCCTGCCATTGAAAAAGCAACAGCGAAAGCGGCGGGAGAGGAACCCTAAAGCGAACGTATTTTGATTAAAATATCGTAACGGTCGGTTTTGTGTGGAGAGAAGTAGAAACTTTGCTCATAATGCCGATTTTTTATTGCTTTTGTATTCAACTATGTATGTGTGCACAGTGAGCATCAAAAATAAGTATACCCTGACGTTTCGACGATTTAATTTATTTAAATTTTCCGTAACAAATTTTTCTTTTTTTTAAATGCAGTCAACAACAAAAACCACAAAACTAATTATTTTTAATTTCATACAGAACTCGGAAAAATGCCATAACTTTTCTTCGAAATTTGTAATTCCCCTCTGAGGTACCACATTTCTGATAAAATCGTCAAAATGTGAGGGTATGCATATTTTTATATATTTATAAATATATATATATGTCTTCAAGCTCCGATTGAGAGTCCGTTTCTCATTTATTAATTGTTACTCAGCTTATGTTAAATTTTTTTTTTTTAATTAATTGTGCAAAAGAAGCTGAATAACACTTGGAACATTTAAAATCTGACTATATTCGGTTATGTTTCCTTCAACAATTAAAAACTGTATTTGGACGTTGACTATTAAGTGCCGGCTGCGCTTGCGTAAACAAAGAACACACATGGCTAAGCAAGCGCCGGGGGTGGATCGCGTTAAAGGAGAGAGAAGTTTGAGAATTTATCTACATAAATACATATATACAAACATAAAAACCACCCTACGAAATTGAGTTTGCCTCCCGAGTCAATGACATAGAAAAAACACACACACAGTTATTTATAAAACCTTATAAAATAGGAATCCCAACGAACACTACAACCGCACACTAAAACATATTCGTCGTCAGCTTATAAAAAATGCTTAAGTAGGTAACTAATGGCATTCTAAACTGGTCTCTTCGATTTGGTTATCCTTGTTAATATTCACCAGGGTTTAACCTGTCCGTCTCTTTCACATTTGTCCAGTAATCTTGCGGCTCTTTCTTTATTCTTCTTCATGGAACACCATTGATGGGTTTTGGACTCATCAGTCGCTGTGCAGCCTTTTTCCTCTCTAGAAGATCTAATACTTCATTGCCCATGATTCCATTATGCCCCGATGTAAAAATAGATAAACCCGTTTCCTGGATGTAATGAGTGGTAAGAGCTAAAGGCGATCTGAAGATTTTAGGTTATCTCGAGTGCTTTCAAAACGAAGGACGTCAAACTGTACTTATACATACAGACATAAATACATACGTGTTGATTGGTCACTCCACTTTCAGAACGAATCGCCATAGTTCATGCAATGAACCCTAGCTTAGCTTAAAAGCCAAAGTTAACTTGCCACAAACTCTGCTACGACAACATGGTTGGTCCTGGAGACATTAGATACCTGTCCGGAGTTTTCTACGAGAACATTTCGTCAAGGATAGCTTCCAGATATTTGATTTCTTTAGAAAGGTATCCGCATAACTTCAATTTTTGGTGACCATATTCAGAGCACTATGTAGGTTTGAGACATTATCAAGCAAAATTCTGGTTAAAATGGCAACCCCATCCACGTTGTTCTGAATATCGAAGCCCTTGTCACTCAAATGTAGTTCGCCTCCTACGATAAAATTTTATAGCCTGGAGATCCTTCCCCCATATGAACATCTTTTCATTGTCAAGAAACTGATTCGTTGGGTATCTAAAGCAAACTTTTTGTATTTAAGACGCGTATAGCACGGAAAGGTTTCTTTTATCATCCTTCCAGGCCTCTTTCGAATCTCCTGCGCAAGGACGTTTTATACCAATCTGCCTGTGGTTTTCGTCAAATTTAAATGTTTATTGGGATTTTATTCAAAATTGGATTCATTTGTAGATAAGTATGTATGTATGTATGCGAGTGTACTTTGTTGGGAGATATACATATGTATGTGTGTATGCAAGTCGGTCTTAGCTGGTGCCACTGGCAGCGCACGTCAACAAGCTGCTGGCAGCCAAGCAGCCAAGCAGCCGTTGCAGGAGCAGATGTTTCCTATTGAGACTACTAAGCGCGCGCCAAAGCAAATGCCTTGGCACTGTTAACATACATACATATATACATACTTCATTTCATTCATACATATGTACATAAAATTGTATATTGTGCATACAAGAGTTTGTGTTTTTGATAATCAGCGGTACAACTCAGTCCGCAGTGTTATTTAGCACAACTATTAATACACCGAAGGTACGCTCACCGCCGCACCACCAGCAGGCAGCCTTGTGGCATAATCAACGTAGGGGGAGCTAGGCGTTCATCCACACATGACTGGCGATATGTACACATGCACACTCACCCATTTATGTTATTTCAACGGCACTAAACTGGGGTTGCAGTTTTTACTTTCGGCTTTTGGCAGTTGGTCTTCCGACTTTACTGGCATTCTTGAGTCTCCGTTGCAGTTGCTCGGAAGAAGTTGTCGCGTGCGGAAGTAAATAAATTTTTGAGAGATAAGTTCGTAACGGTTAAGTATGTAAAATTTTTATAGATGTGAAAAAGGGAACAATAGAACCATCAGTTACTAAGTAATAGATTAATATAAAAAGTTTACTAAATAAAAAATAACAAATAAAAATTTATCGAAAAATATTTTAAAACACTAAACGATATATATTTCGCCTCCGTGTGAAGTGAAGAATAACGCATCGAGAAAATTTACCTTGAACAGTGCCGAGTTGCCCGTTATTATAATACCTAGAGTGAACGTTTTGCGCCGCCATGTCGCAGCACAACTATACAAATCCGGCATTTTGTCACGGCAGCGAGTTTTATCCGACGCGCGGTGTCGAATTGGACTCGGTTCAAGAGCCTATAGAAGCCATCTACAATCGAAGTCTTAATATTTCTTATGGCGGGCATGCAGTGCCGACGGCGAATCCCCGCGTTGGTCCCCTACGTCTGCAACGAAGTATGTCGACTCGCTCGGTCAACGTGCAAAAGCGTTCGAAGGCAGCAGCGGCGTCCCAAGTACATTTAAGTCGCCTTCCAAAGCAACAACAACATCAACGGCAACAAACTCAACAACAACGCCCAACAAAAAGCCAGTTCGCCATCACTTCGTATTCACATTCCCGCAACAACAACAATAGCACGAGTGCAGTTGCCGAATCGACGGCTTTCGAAACTCGTTCAAATTCTGGCCGTTATGCGCTTGTACCAGTAGAAGACTTGCCATCGACGGCTAATAGAAATAACCGATACGCAATTGTACCCGGTCTGTCCACGGGCCTCGCTCGCACCCATCGATATGCTAAATCGCAGGATAACCTTGATTACTACGGTTCAGAAGGGCGCCTGCAAAGCGATGAAGAACCCGCCTCATTTCACGAGGAGCCACATTCGTTTCATGGTCAATCCGCAGATGCGGCGTTCGCTAGCCATAGCAAAGCGGCTATACCTACTGTACAACAACCACAGCCATTGTCACCTAAAATAAAACATGCTTTCTCCAGCGATTTCGGCAGCAAAACATTCCTTATCGTGGATAAGAATAGCAATCAGCGCTACCAAATGGTACCCACCGCCGAGGATGAGGAACTGGTTGACGACAATCAAGAAATTATACAAATGCACAATGGGCGCGCCCATCGTTACGCGGTAATTCCAACTGAAGAAGAAGACCAGATGCAGGACGCTGAAGGTGAGGAGGAGGAAACGTGCCTTAGCAATTCCGATTTGAATCGCAGTGAGAACTTCTTGGTTAGCGCCACGAAACAGTCTCGGAACACAACGCTACGCACTTCGACGCCACAAAAGCTACCAGCACTAGCACAAGCGCAAAATGGCGTCAACTCTTATCCGTGCACACCCATGAAGAATCCAGCCGCCACAAAAATGCTGCACGAACTACTCTCCACACCGCGAAAAACACCTCTACCGCGTAGTGTTACACCACGCAACTTGTCGCCCTTAGAGCGGCTACCGGAAAACTACCAGCAAGAGCATCAACGCACAAAGTACCACTATCGCAGCCAACAACAATTGCACTATACGCCTGGTGATCGACGCTTAGAACGCACTACGCAAAGTCTACATTACGAGTCGGTGAAAACGCCAGGCGACCGAACCATGGCGGTGATTACGCCACGCATAACACCACATCAGCAATCAAAGGCGTACCCGGAGGTGGAGGAGGAGGAGGATTGCAGCAGCATCCATGGAAAATCCACCAACAGCACCACACCCTACCCGCAGAAGGTGGCCAATGCGGCGATCACCTTGGCCGTCGTGTCGCTGATGCTTGTGATCAGCAGCAGTATGAATACGGCGCTTATTATCTACATGATTGCGCATGTAAGGCTTGCTGAGACCCCCGCCGTCTATGTTATTTGTGTCAATAATCAATACCGCTTGTCTTACTTTTCAGTTTGGAAAATCATTTTACCTGCAGTTTAGCTTGGTTGCCGCATTCAGTGGCGTGGGGCTTGGTTTCCTCGGTTTCCGTTCGCGTCATTGTGAATGGTTGCCAAATCGCAGCTACACCTCTGGTTATATTCTCGTAACGGTATTCTGCCTGCTCAAATGCTGTGGCTTAGTAGTGATCCTAGTGCTAGATCCTTACCCTGGGTTGCCACTACACGATGTAACTACAGGCATTATACTGGGTCTATCTACATTCACGATTTTCTTTATCGGCCTGGGTGTGGTTGGATCACTTTGGTGCTATAGACCGCCACCAGATAATAGAGTTAATGTTGCTTAAATAATGCATAGAAAATTGTTCAAACAATTATACAGTTGATTTAGTTTTTAATAACATTTTTTCCGTATCTCAGGATAATGAACGTACAAACATACATAG